ATCTGCACGCGGGAGGATAATAGATCCCAGAGCTCCTCTGCGTGCCAAGCTGCTCTGGGTAGACCGCACCACTTCCTCTTCTGTCTGGAAATCCAGCCGAGGCTTTCAGCGCGGAGATGGGGATGGGATGGCTCCTTCCACAGGACGCTGGAGGCTGGAGGAGCGGCCTCCGCCAGGGGGAGGGCAGCCCCAGTGATCAAAGGAGCAGGCAGGAATTTCGGAATGCCGTTTTCTCCAGCGTCTCCCCGAAATCACCTCTGCTGAAGCCTCCTTGAGTGGCAAGCAGGGTTCAAAACAGCCTGCACCTCCAAATTGAGGTATATGGTACCCGGCTTCTTGTATTCACTTTGAAATAAGAAGGGTCGGTGCCATGGTTGGGTTGTGCCACAGACCTCTCCAAAGTAAGGGGCCTGCGGGCCTGAAGCAAAGAGAGCGAGAACTCCACTCTTAGAGACAGAGGTGTCTGCTGGTTCCGCCACAGAAGTTTCTGGCCATCCCACGAACGACTCCTTCGTTGGTGACGGGGAATGCCAGCAGGCCGGCCCCAGTGGAGTTCAGGCCTGAGCTACCAGCCACTGCGGGGTCTGTCCACCCTGTGGTCTGCACTTTGCTCACCTTCACGCCTCCTCCACATGAGCCCAGAGGCTCGGCCCTGCCTCCTCAGCTCTGGCTGAGTCCCCAGCACAGGCCTCACAGGCCTTTATTAATTCGCCCCTGAGTCGTTCATTCACTCACTAAGCCAGTTCCTCATTCAGCAGACACTCCCTGAGCACCTCCTCCGTGTCAGACACCGAGGCTACGAGATAAATACCACGAAGGAGCCATCTTCAGGAGCCCAGAGTAAGGTCCAGCCCCTCTCTCCTCCCAGCCCTGCGCCCTTACTGTGGTCTAAGACCTGCCCTCCACTTCAATGAGAAGATGGAAAACGTACTGAGCATCCTTACCGCCCTTCTCTTGACGCAACACCTCCCTGACTCTTGAGCCACACCCTTGGGCAATTATTATCAAACTTCGCTGAGCATCAGACTCACTTGGGAGCGTGTTAAAGTACAGACTCCTAGGCCCCCTCCCTCTAGTCAGGGTGCATGCCAGGGATCTGTATTTTTAGCAAGTGACAAATGATTCTGAGGGAGACGGCCTTTAGATCACACTTTGACAGACTCCAGAGAAGGGTCACCTCTGCTGTCCATTGCCCCTATCCCCTAATTCAGGATTTTGCAGGAGAAAGTCACAGATCCTGGCCTCCCGTGATCCCCAAAGACACACACTGCCAGCTCGTGACCCTTTAAATTCATCTGCTATAAAATGGGGTGAATCAAATTTCCCAGAGCAGTGGTTTCAGATCTTTCCTTTTATTTTTAAAACTTTTTAAAATGGAAAATTCCAACACACATAAAGAAGAACAGTAACTACCTTGCAGCCATGATCCAACCCAACCACCAACATTCATGGCCAATCCTGCCTCATCACACCCCCACCTTCGCCCTCCATCCCACACTCAACAGATGATTCTATTTTTCCAACTATATTATTTTTGAAGTAAATCTCAGACGTTATATTCTGTCTGTGAATATTTCATTTGTGCTTCTCAGACAAAGCCCTGCGGTGTAATTTAACTGTCCTCTGAATCTCCTACAAATTGCGTGTTAGATCTAGACTCTGAGGACTCTGGTCAAAGACTCAGGTTTTCCTTTGGCGAGAAGACTTGCGTGGTGGTGGCATATTCTTCCATCCGAAGGCCCGTAATGGCTGATGGTCTCTCCTTATGTTGCTGGCAGTCACTGGTCACTGCCAACATCCATTCGCTCATCAGATGTTGTAAAATGGTGCTTCCTTCCTTTTTTATTATCTGGAATATTTTATAAAAGAGGCCCAGTAGTACAGTTTATATCAGAAAGGTACAATAAATAATGCTAGATTCTTTCCCTTTACTCATCTGTCTTCAAAATAATGAGCTGGTTCCCTAGCACCTTCCAACAGTGAAGAATTGTTTTGTGTATCAAGTGTTTGATGCAAACCCAAGCCATTGTGCCCAGTTAATATTGGACAAAGGAGGCAAGAGCATACAGTGGAGTAAAGACAGTCTTTTCAATAAATGGTGAAAATTGGACAGGTACATGCAGAGAAAGAAAGAAAGAAAGAAAGAAAGAAAGAAAGAAAGAAAGAAAGAAAGAAAGAAAGAAAGAAAGAAAGGAAGAAAGGAAGAAAGAAAGAAAGAAAGAAAGAAAGAAAGAAAGAAAGGAAGGAAGAGAAGGAAGGAAGGGAGAAAGAAAGGAAGAGAGAAAGAAAAACTAGACCACCAACTTACACAAGAATAAACTCAAAATGGATAAAAGACTTAAATGTAAGTTGTGAAACTATAAAGATCTTAGAAGAAACCATAGGTAGCAAAATCTCAGACATCTCTCATAGCAATATGTTTACTGATACATCTCCTAGGGCAAAGGAAACTAAGGAGAAAATAAACAAATGGCACTACATCAAACTAAAAAGCTTCTGCACAGCAAAAGAAACCATCAACAAAATAAAAAGGGAGCCCACTGTATGGGAGAACATATTTGTCAATGATACATCTGCTAAGGGGTTAAAAAAAAATAAGGAACTCATACAACTTAACAAAAGGAAGACAATCCAATTTAAAAAATGGGCAAAGGACCTAAATAGACACTTCTCCAAAGTGGATATACAGATGGCCAAGAGACATATGAAAACATGCTCAAAGTCACTAATCATTAGAGAGATGCAAATTAAAACGACAATGAGGTATCACCTCACACCTGTCAGAATGGCTATCATCAACAAATCAACAAATGACAAGTGCTGGCGAGGATGTGGAGAAAAGGGAACCCTAGTACACTGCTGGTGGGAATGCAGACTGGTGCAGCAATTATGAAAACAGTATGGAGTTTCTTCAAAAAATTAAAATTGGAACTACCATTTGACCCAGTGTTCCCACTTCTGGGAATATATCCTATGAAATCTGAAACACCGATCAGAAAGAATATATGCACCCCTATTTTCATAGCAGCACAATTTGCAATAGCTACGATCTGGAAACAGCCCAAGTGCCCATCAGTACATGAATGGATAAAAAAGTGGTGGCACATTTACACCATGAAATATTATGCAGCAGTAAAAAAGAAGGACCTTTTACCCTTTGAAGCAGCATGTAGGGACCTGGAGAGCATTATGCTAAGCAAAATAAATCAGTCAGAGAAAGACAAATATCACATGACCTCACTCATTTGTGGAATCGAATGAACAAAATAAGCTGATGAACAAAATAGACCCAGAGACATAGAAGAATGGAACAGACTGACAAATCTCAGCGGGAAGGCAGGGGAGGGTGGGTGGATGGGTGGTGGGGAGAGATGAACTAGGGAATTTATATGCGTATATGCCTAGCCCATGGACACAGATGATAGTGTGGTGAAGGCCTGGGGCGGGAGCATGCAGGATAGAGGGGGTCAATGGGGGTGGGGGGATATAGGGGGCATCTGTAATACTATCAACAATAAAGATAAACTTTTAAAAAAATGAATGTTCGACGTGTTTCAATCCACTGCAGTTATTTTTTCATGTTCAAATTGTCCCACTTTGACAAGTAGGAGGCTCTTCCAGTGGTGTTCTGAGTCCTTTGGACAGAGCCAGTGGTCTTTGAAGCTACCAACCCTTTCTTGCATTCTTCAAACCCCTGGCCTGCCCCTCCTCACACTGAATTCTGCGATTATTTTTCTCAGAAGACTAAGACCCTATGTTATGAACATTCTCAATTTAGTTTTTCTCACCTGTTAAATGGAGCTAATAACAGCGCCTACCTCATAGGGCTGTTAATTGACTTAAGATTAAATGACTTAATAATCAGAAAGCACTGGGAACAGTGCCTGACAGAACATAAGTGCTAGATATGTATTTGTTAATAAATAACACCCCCTTGCCCTCACACACTTCCACGTCTCTCAGCCACTCGGCCCTTTCCGCCTCCCCTCCAGCCTCAGAGCTCGAGGTGCCCTCCCCAGGCTGAGTGTAGAGGCATCAGTCACTCAGCTCAGGGATCCACAGTGAACGCCTTTCCTTGGGGACGGGAACTCGCCTCTAGCATTTCACTCGCAGAGCCCGACAAGCTCTCCAAATACACGGTGCAGCCTGCACCCCCAGCTCTCCAGCCAGGAACATCTCTCCTGACGCCCTGGTCAGTTAACACCCTGCCAGCGTCCTAGCGTCGGAGCTGCAAACATTGACTTCAACTGTCCTAACAAGTCGATGAACACTCACGCAGCCAAGTTTCCTTCCATCCCCGGGCTCCTGAAGCCCCGAGAATGTGCTTGGCTGCCCAGACGACACAGGCTCGGGATGGACAGGTGTGCCCTTTCCGCGGGCACCGGCTCCCTGCTGATGTCGAGCACCACAGCCTGGAATGCCAAGGGCCTGCTGGGCCTTCCTATTCAAGTTCAAAATGGCCCAAGTCAGCAGATTCCGGGCAGATAAAGGAAAAAGGAGGCCCCAAAGAAGGGGTCACGTCTAAAGCAGCGGTTCTCAACCTGTGGGTCGCGACCCCTTTGGCGGTCGAACGACCCTTTCACAGGGGTCGCCTAAGACCATCCTGCATATCAGATATCTACATTACAATTCACAACAGTAGCAACATTACAGTTATGAAGTAGCAACGAAAATAATTTTATGGTTGGGTCACAGCATGAGGAACTGTATTTAAAGGGCCAGAAGGTTGAGAACCACTGAAAAGGAAAGGAGACCAGGGGCTGGCTGCCTGCAGGGATTGCTGTCCTGGGTCTGCTGCACCCACCTCAGCCTGGGTTGGAGGCCCCCAACACGCTTGCCCTGGAGAGACTGGAATGAGGGACGTGTTGTTGCCACTGTGCCTGCCGTGGGGCCTGGGAAAAGGAAGCAGAAGCACAGCAGGCCTGGGAAATACCTGCCACATCTCCGCATCAGCTTATTCCCACCTCTTTTCGTAAAGCCCATTCCCTACCTCTGTCCCCTGCTAATCCCGGCCCTGACCTTCTCTCATGACCAGCTGCAGAAAGGAGAGCATCCATTGGCTCCAAGATGACATCCCGAGAACCAAGGACGAGCCTCAAGAATGCCTACTCCTCTGCCAAGAGTCTGCTGCCTAAGGCGGAGGAGGTGGAGGCCGAGGACTACTGCACCCCCGGAGCCTTCGAGCTGGAACGCCTCTTCTGGAAGGGCAGCCCCCAGTACACCCACGTCAACGAGGTCTGGCCCAAGCTCTACATCGGGGATGAGTGAGTACCTGGCCAAGCCCAGGAGAAGGTAGCAGGCCCTTCCCCAGGTCACACCTCCTGCCACCTCCAGGCCATGACATTTTGCTTTTTAGGTTGGTTGTTCTGTGACTCTAACAGTTAGGGCTGGGTTTTTCTTCATATTACAGAACACTCCGAAAAGGGGCTTAAGCAAGATTAAGGTAGATTTTTAAAATATATATTTTTATTGACTTCAGAGAGGAAGGGAGAATATAGAGAGATAGAAACATCAATGATGAGTGAGAATCATTGATCGGCTGCCTCCTGCACGGCCCACACTGGGGATTGAGCCCGTCACCTGGGCATGTGCCCTGACTGGGCATCGAACCGTGACCTCCTGGTTCATAGGTTGATGCTCAACTACTGAGCCAAGCTGGCCAGGTGAGATAGAGGTTGATTTTGCTTTCACATGAACAATGTACAGAGGAAGGCAAGCTGGGACTGGCATGGGTCTCCAGGGTCATTGGGGACTCAGGCTCCTGTGTGTCTGCTGTACCATCCTGAGGGTAAGGCTTTCTTCTTCAAGGTTGCTGCATGGGCTGAGATTGCTGATAGGGCTCCAGTCATCATCTGTAGGATCCAGACTGCAGGGAGGTAGAGGGAAAGTAAAAGCAAAAGGGTGTCTTTCCAAACAGAAGTCCCACCCAAGACTTCCCCTGCCACTAGCTGCAAGGGAGGCTGGGAAATGTAGTCTTTTATTTTAGCTGGGTATAACACCCACAAGAGGCACATCAGCCTATGTGTGGAGAAGAAAAAGGTAAGCCTAGCAAAGTTCAGGTTGCTGTCCCCTTCTCTAGATTTTTATAGCTACCATTCCCCATTCCTTAAACAATTGGGAAGCTCATACTGTATATAATCAATATATATAAAAGGTTATATATACCGACCATCCAACCGTCCAGTAGGTATGATGTGCACTGTCCACCAGGGGGCAGATGTTCAATGCAGGAGCTGCTGAGCTGCAGTGACTTGGCAGCGGCAGTTCTTGGGTGACGCACCCTGAAACCAGAGAGGAGGGAGCCCGATTCCTTGTGGGGCCGCACGATTCCACCTTCAGCCGTGGGTTATGTTGTTGCTGGGGCACTGTCATCCCTGAATCTGGTTTACTGCACACTTGCGTTTGTGTTCCACACCCTGTACAACAGCAACTTTGCAGAGTGCCCTCTCGCACTCTGGGACCCCTTGGGGGATGTCGAAGAGCCGGTTTTAGCCCGATCCCCGCAGGCCAGGCTGAGGGACCCCGCCTACTGGAGGGACCCCCGTTCACTTCGCAGATGCCCTTCGTGCCGTGGCGCCGCCCCAGGTCCCGCCCCACTGGCCACTGGCCACTTTCTAATTAATTTCAGTGTGCAAGAATTCATGCACTGGGCCACTAGTATTAATAATAATAATGCCTATGATTTACTAAATGCTTTGTGCCAGGCATTGTGCTAAGCATCTTGCATGTACTATCTCACTTTATTTTCACTAAAGCCCAATGAAAGAGGTCATCTACTTACCCCATTTTACAGATAAGGAAACGGAGGGTCAGAGCAGTTCATTAACTCTCCCAAGGTCCACAGCCCCGTAGGCAACAGAGAACTGGAATTCGAATGCAGTTTTGCCCAATCCAGAAGTTTCCATCTTAAATCCTCCCTCCACCCCCAGGATTCCGGCTCATGCTCCATCTCTCCAAGGAGCAGATGGTGCAGGGCCTCTGCATGTGCGATTTCCACACACACACACACACACACACACACACACACACACACATCATGCTGCTTAAACCTTCGAGATAACTGTCTAGTCAGGGAAAATCCAGGGACAGCCTCCCTTGTCTGGTTTTTCGTAATATTTTTAAATTGAAAAAGTTACAAAAATTACATGCCCTTCTGTACTAAATTAAATTAAATGGAGGGTTATAAAAAATAAACTGCATAATCACACTTTGTTTCTCTTAATCCTACCATGGAGTAACCAGAATTATATTTACTTGCCTATGTCTACTACTTTATGTATACAATTGCAAACATAAGCAAACATATACACACATATAAAGGGTTTTTGTTTCTCTCAACAATTTTTTAGAAAAAAAAGAATCATATTATATATACACTCTTCTGCATTTTAATATTCCATAGTATAGTTGTACCACAATTTATCCAATCATTTCCCAGAATATTAGGGGAACCTAAGTGAGAGGTATATAGGGACTCTATACTATTTTCTTTTCTTGTTGTTGTTAGTTTGTTAATCTTCACCCAATGATATTTTTTCCATTGATTTTTAGAAGAGAGAGTGCAAGCCCCCCGCACACACCCTGACTGGGCCAGAGATCAAACACGCAACCCAAGTACATGCTCTTGACTGGGAATTAAACCCATGACCCTTCAGTGTATGGGCCAATGCTCTAACCACTTAGCACACTGGCCAGGCCGTTTTCTTTTTTCAAATAACAGCCTTATTAAGGTATAATTCACAGCCCATAACATGTTTCACAGGGTGAAGATTAAATGAGTGAAAACAAATGAAGTGCTAGAGTAGTAGCTGGCACATAGTAAATGCTCATTAAGTGCCTGCATTCTGGGTCTGAGTAAGCATCACAGAAGAGGTCAATTCCGGGGTTGGCCCTGGAAGATGGGTCGTATTTCAACAGAATTCTAGGCAGATGGGGCAGGATGAGAAGAGACATAGAGGTAAGGAGAAATAAGGTAATTTATCTGGAATTTAGGGGATGGATATGGTAGAAAGGGCACTTTCAGAAGACCTGGGACGAAGCCAAATCCTACCACTGTGTGGTCAGCTAAGACAGCCGTGCTGCAATAACAAGCCACCCCAACATCTCAGTGGCCCACACAATGATGGCTTATGTCTCGCTCACATGTCATATCCACGGTGGGCAGGTCCTAACGGTGCTGCATGTCCACTTTACTCCGGGACTCGGGACCCAGGCTGATGTCCACATTTCATTGGCCAAAGCAAGTCCGTGCCAAGGCCTCACATCAACAGGGCAGAAAAGTGTAACCTTCCCCTAGGGAGGGGCAGCAAATATTCTAAAGGACAGCACACCATCTACCACAGCCACAGTCTGCTGCAGGGGCGGTGGCTTTGGGCAGGTCCTTTTACCCTTCTGGGGTTATGTCCTCGTCTCTAAAAATGGTTACTGAGCCTGGCGGTGTGGCTCAGTGGTTGAGTGTCCACCCATGCATCAAGAAGTCACTGGTGCAATTCCCGGTCAGGGCACATGCCCGGCTTGTAGGCTTGATCCCCAGTAGGGGGTGTGCAGGAGGTAGCCGACTAAAAAAAATTTTTTTTAAATGGTTACTGAGAAGAGTCCAAGAAATATGGACTATGACAGCATTTTATAAAGTATAAAGTACTAGATAGATGAAAAAATTATTATTACTGTTACTTAGTGAGAAAGAAACCTGGGAAGAGAGGTCAGGGCCAGCCTGTGGCAGGCTGAATGCCAGCCGCGGTGCTTTCTGCAGGAAGTTAAATTGAGTGTCTGAGCAGGACAGACGTGTTCTAGTCAATACAGTGCCAGACGGTTGGCTTTGATGCAGTAAGATACGCTTCCTCCTTCCACCAGGAAAATGTCACTGCCCTTTAGTTCAGTCCAGCTCTGCCTGAGCCCCAGACGCGCATGCACAGGCTGGGCAAGCTCCACAGTCAGTGCGTGACCTGCGTGTGCGGCGTGGGGAGGAGCCAAAGTCAGCACGACTGGTCTTGTCCATCTCTGTCCAGGGCCCCGCCCAGATGCCCACTTAACAAGGTGAATGGGACTCCCAGATGCTTAGTGAGAGAGCAGTTGATTCCACTGCCAAGGCCACCACACGGAGGTTACAGCCCAGCTGAGGGCAGGCATGGCAGCCTGTGCTCCTTGGTCTCTCTATAGGTGTTGCTCGAACCAGGGGAAAGCTCAGCGCTGGCTCCTCATGCACAAAGCCTCAGTTTCAATTTGATATTTGTGCTTAGGTTGAGTTCTTCCTTTCCCTAAAGCACCCAAGGTTTTTGAAAGCTGAGTGCCAAGCTCTGGAAGTTAGGGTGGTCAGGACCGGGAGTGAGGATGGACATCCCAGGGCAGCCAGAGCCTCCGGCTGTTCCTGGAACCTAGACCGGTGATGCCTGGAACCCGCTGGGGACCAGACTTACTCCCACAAAGCAGCTCACTCTTTCCCCGTCCTCTCTCCTCAAGGGCTTCTTTCTGGAGAAAGGCAGATGGCTGAGCATCTGCTCGGAGCCACAATATCTGGGTCAAATGCTGGTTTCTGCGTGGCCTTGAGCAAGTCACTCAAGCGTTCTGAGCTTCAATTTCTTCACCTGTAATATGTGGATTCCATGAGTTCATACATATGACATTTAGTGCATGCCTGACACACCCAATAACTGCTATAGTTCAGGTAGGTTCTGGTCATTTGAGTCACAGTGTGAGAGGAAGGTAAACGGTTACTATGCTTTGCCACTTAGAGTCCCTCTGTGCTAAGAAAACCCCCTGGTTAAATTTTCCCATGAGATGCTATCATGAATCCGAGGCCAGGCTGGAAGGAAGGTCCCTCCTACTGAGCCTTCTCCAGCCCATGCACCCACTCACCCCACAGACACTGTCCTGGCCTTCCAGGGACCCAGGCGACCTAAGGCCCAAGGAGGCATGGCCACAGCAAAGCCCTCTGGGCCTGTGAGCTTCAGAATTTCTAAAGCATTTTCTCAATCCCAGCTTATGCCAAGGGGACTCGGCAAGTGGGGTGCCCGGTGACTCCAAGTCCCCATTGCTCACCAGCTCCACCACCACGACCCAGTAAGAAGAGGCCACAGATAGGAGGGGAAGTGGTTGGAGTTCAAGGTGCTGGGTGAGTAGAGGGGATGGGTCCAAGCCAACCAATCACCTTTTGGATGTTCTCGTGGGGAAGTCTATCTCAGTCAAGCCACAGCTCCCCTCTCCCCACACATTTCCCAAAACTTGGTGGGAGTCTGAATCTGCCACAAGTAAGAGCTGCAAGGTC